TCAAAAACTGCAGTTCTTAGTTAATACAAGCTATTAAATCTAGAAATATAAATACCAAGTGAAGCATAACTTTAGAATCTTTTATTAGACATTTCAAAGAAATTCAGTTAATTTAAGCTACCAAATATAAAGGTATAAATTCCAAACAATACAAAACTTCTATATATAGATAGTATTAAAAGGATTACTTATACTATACATTAGTATCTATATTAATACTTATTTCAAGGTTCTTTATTTTGTATTGATATATATGATAGAGTTTGCTATCAGAAGATGTGGATTTTTATTGAAGTTAGATCAGAAGCCTTTTCTTATACAATCTTTCTTACTTTAATCTGTTTTTAGCTTGTGATTATTAGAAAAACCAAAGGTTCCATTTTTATACAACCTAATTAAATTTAATTTAAATTTGAATATTTGGATACAATATTTATAAAAAATTAGTAAATTCACAAATAAAAGATAAATTTTTATATATTTTTGTTTCTTATAATTATTGAATTAAGGATATACATTTGAAGACCAGGAAGAATTACCTATTGTACTATTAATTCATTGATTAGTTATAAAATTTTTTTATATTATTTTTATTTAAATAATTAATAAGATTTTAATATATTGCTTTTTTAATATTTAAATTTGATAAAAAATAATATAAAAAAAATTAAATAAAATTATATATAATTCTATTAATATAATAATATTTTAAAATAATAATAAATTAATTTTTTTTAAAAATTACAAATAATTAGGGTTCTAAAAAATACTGAACTGATACCAAAGTAATATTGAAATTGTATTGATTTATAGTAAATTTAATATATAGTATTGATGTCTCATTCAGTAAGTCTGTTGTTTTAAAGCTTTTCTTATATAATATTAAATAAGTTTTAGGCCTTCTCTATTTGAGACATGTGATTTTTGTTTAGCCAAATCTTGCTAATTCTTCTTTTTCTTTCCATTGTCACTTCTCTTAACAAAATCTTTACTACTTTTCTTTGTGATTCCTTATTATTCTCGCTTGTGACAAGTACTAAATTAGATAAACTAATTAGTTTTACTTTTTTCTGCAATGTTAATTATACATTTTAATTAGGAAGTTTTTAATTAAGGCTATTATTGTATACCCGAATCTTATTAGAATGTATATTACGAATCTTTATTATATGCTATAAATTATAGTTATATCCTGTATAATTTTTATCTCTCCTCTTTTTTTATATTAGCATGTCATGTCTTGTTGCTGATATTATATTATATTATCTTATTAAGCTAAAATAGACTATCTGTTGTTATTTCTTTATACTAGCTAATAAACTATTTGAAATTATATTTTATCTAAAAGCTAAAGTATTACTATAGACTATTATTTACCAATTATTAAAAATTGGGACATAAGGTATACCAAAGTGTATTATGTAATCATGCCTTATATCACTTTCCCACTAACAATAGGTTGTTATTTACTTATATGAATTTATAGTAAATTTAAGTATCAAATTGATATCAAAGTAGTATCAAAGTGGTATTATTAGAAGCTTTACAAATAAATATTAAATATAAGACTTTTATATGAAAGTTTATAGTATTGGAGTAAAGATTAAGCTGATTAGACTGCAAATGCAATTTTCACATATCATGTCTAATCAGGATCTCAATTATAAATAGATTTAGTAAGCATGAAGTTTAAAAAATAGAGTTACAACCATTATAAGTCTGGAATTGTCTATAGCAGTAAATCATGGGGATAATATCCCAATAAGCAAAAAGAGGAGGGTCATAAATAAATAAATAGATAGGATAAAGAGAAAAAGTATAACAATTAACTAATAATTAACTGACAATTGATTAATAGTGACAAAAGAGAAAAAGTATGACAGTTAATTAATCAAAACCAGTAGAGTTAGGGAAAAGAAGTATAAAATAAAGACAAACCATTCCTAAATTGAGATATTTCTTTTTAGAATACTGCTTTAAAAAGGAAAAAGCTAATTAAATTTTACCTGAATTCAATACTTGTTATGAAAGAGAAAGACACCAGGGTTCCAGGAAATAAAAAAAGTAGAAGGTTATTAAGAAAGTATAGTAACAGAAAGAAAAGGCAAAAAGGAATTAAAAAGAATACTCCATTTTGACCAAGTCAATAATATATGCCTTAAGAAAGCCTTACCATACTTACTGTTAATGTAATATGAGCCTGCAATAAAAGTAACAGACTTGTCAAAAATAATCTCAACAGATTTGGTATGACTGTGAAATAGTTGTCTCATTAGTTCTCTCCGATAAATTGTGTAAACAACAATTTATTAGTTTAAGCAATAATGAATGGCAAGAAAACAAATCAAATAGAAACAAGAGAAAGAACTCTAAAAATAGAGGAAAGAATAGTAGAAGAAAGTGAACCAGAAGAATTCTATAAAACCAAACTAATGAATATTTCTGGAGAAGATTTTGTTAAAGAGAATTCTATAGTTAGATCCAAATTCTAAAAGGAATTTGCTTGAGTATTCAAAGAAGTAAATATTAGGGAAACAAGTGAGAGTAACCTGATAAAAGTATCCAAGTTTTATAGCGAAGATAAAGAAGATCCATTCAAATGGATCAAAAAATTCGAAAGTGCTGCCAATGCAAACAATTGGGTAGGATGAAGAAGGATCCAGATTATGGCTAATTATCTTAAAGATAACATAATACATTGGTACCATGACACAGAGACTTGATCAAGTATTGGAACAGTAAGGATAATCATGATTAGAGTTTTATTTCTCTATTCCTACAAGTCTTTGTGACAGAAGAACTGATACAACAATAGACAAAGAGTTAATGGCATTAGAACAAGGAGATGACGAAAAAGTGAAAACATATGCTAATAGATTCCGGTGACTCTTAAGGAAAGCAGATCCTAACAATAAGTTGTTACAAAGCTATATTGTTTGTATGTTTATCAAAGGATTAAGAGATAAAATAGTATCATTGCTATTTATCTTGGAACTGAAACACTTGGAAGAAGTCATTAAAGCAGTAAAAGAGATTTAGATCAGAAAGCAATATAAAAAAAAAGGAAAAAAGAAGGAGAAATCAGAAAATAATAAGTTAGAAAGCAACATTGAAGCATTGACACAGCAGTTAAATCAACTTATTGCATTAGTAAAGGCTCAAGCTAAGTATAGGGCTCCTAATGATACCACTTCAATACTTGTTCGATACTAGTTCGATACTTAAATTTACTATAAATTCATATGAGTAAATCACAATCCATATATTAAATTTACTATAGATTAGTACTATTTCGATACCACGTTGATACCGGTTCAGTACTTTTTGGAGCCCTAGCTGAAAATAGTAATATTAAGTTGAAACTAAAGATAAGTTCCTAAATTATTTGTGAGGACATAATTCAAATGTCCTTTATTATTAAAAATTTTTATTTTTATATTAAGAAATAAAAAAAACTATATACAAGGGTTTTTTATAATTTTAAGCATCTATACAAATTATTTCTGGAATTATATTCCTATTGAAATAAAGAGCTAGGAATTATGTCCTTTAGGGAATGTGGATATAAAGGGACATAAATTTTATATACTAAATACTTTAGGGACCTATCTTTAGTTGAAACTATGAACAAACGAATATTTTTGTTATAGTAAAAAAGAACATTATGTATGAAATTGTCAAACTAAAAAGAAAGCAACAACATTTACTGCCAGAACAAGTATTGAATAAACCATCAAAGCAAGATACAGAGAAGTAGTAGAAATGTATTAGGTTTTAAAGGATGAAACAGAAACATCTTATACTAATAAATTGCAAAGACCTAAACCAAGAATTAAATCAATGTGGGAAGGTTGATTACAAACACAAAAAAGTTAAATGAGAAAGATAAAGGCACAGAAGAAGAGTTATTACAACCTACCATTTGGATGAAGCCACAAATACAACCTGTTGTTTGGTATAACCATTGCCTACTGTTTTATTAGAACCTCAGGCATGCCCTGTTCAAATGAAACCTATAGCATGAGCAATAGATAAAGATAAAGTAATAAGAGAAACAATAGCTATGATACCAGTCCAAGAACTGCCAAAACAGAGAAGATCTAGAAGAAAGAAGGATCTGTCTCAGATAAAATCAGAGCCAAAATATAATATCATTGAAGATTTGTTTGAAATACCTATTAACATAACACTTGATCAAATGCTAAGTATTTCAAAACAATAAAAGAATCTGGCAGCTGTATTAAAAAGACTCTATATAGTGGAAGAGATCAATTTGATTAAAGTAGAAAGACAAACGAATGTGACTAGATGTATGGTAAAAGTTAAAAAAGAATATGTGATTGCTACTACTAATACTGGTGCCACCATTAGTTTTATGTCCAAAGAATTAATGAAGCAACTAGAATTAAAAATTGAAGAAAAGTCAACCATAGCAATCATATCAATCATTGAAATATAAACAAGAATGTTGGGTCACATTAAGAGCCTACAAATTACCATTGGAAATATAGTTTTTCCATGTCTGATTCAAATAGTCAATTTAAATAAAGAGACACTATTGTTAGAAAGAGATTGGTTGGAATGAGTACAAGCAAGCATTAGTTCAATAAAAAGAAAATATTGTTTACGAATAATAACAAGACTATAAAAATATGATCATCGAAGATGATGAAAAGCAAGACAATCTGCTAATTCAAGAAGAAAAAAAATGTAAAGAAAACAATAGTGATGAGAAGAACAAGTTCTATAAAATACTACAATATAAAGAAGAAAGTATAGAAGAGACTAAAGCATATTATGCAGGAGAAATTATTAGTAAAAACAAGATTCTGAAGATTATACAAGAAGAATCAAATCTGGCAGAATACCTGGCACAGATTGAGGAGCAATCTGATAATAATATTAATTAGGATAACCTTGAGCTGGAGAATGATATAAAAGAAAGTAAAAGATCAGAAACAAATGATAAAGATAAGAAAGAATTAGTTCACCTGATATATATGGTACAATTAGAAGAACTACTGACAATAAATGAAGAGGAGGAGAAAATGATTGAATTAAAAATTAAAAAAATTGAAATAGATCAAGAATTAGAGAAGGAGCAACAAGAAGAAGTGAAGATCTTTTTGAAACAAGAAAGTAACATTTTTGCCAGATCAGTTCAAGAGTTAAGAAGAAGTTTATTACGAAATCAATAATGATGATATATGACTGATCAAGCAAAGTGTGTATTATATGGTACATAATATAAGGAAGTTTGTATAGCAAGAAATTGATTAACTAAAGAAAAAAAATTTGATTCGTAAATTTTAAAATCTGTGATCATTGCCAGTGGTAGTGTACCCAAAAAAAGAGGAAAGTTATGATTATATGTAGACTATTGCAAGTTAAATGCTATTATAAAAAAGGATATTTATCTGTTACTCCATATTAATAATCTATTAGAAATATTTGCAAAAGCAAATTGGTTCAATATAATCGATTTTATGAGTGGATACTGGCAAATTGCAGTAAGAAAACAAGATTGAGAAAAAACAGCCTTTGTAATGCCAATAGGAATATACAAGTTTAATATAATGTCCTTTGGATTATATAATATTCCAGTAATGTTCCAAAGATTAATGGATTAGTTATTAATAAGCTATATCCAAAAATTTGTTACTGTATATTAAATAATGTTATAGTTTATTCTAGTGTATTTACAGATTACTTTACTCACCTTAGTCAAGTTTTTATAACTTTTCGTAAGGCCAAATTAAAGTTAAACTTTGATAAGTATGTTTTTTCAAAAAAGAAATCAGTTTTTTAGGCCATATAGTGGATTGTAATAGAGTAAAGCCAGATAACACAAAGATAGATAAAATTAAGAATTTTTCTGCTCCATAGAATTTATGACAATTATATGGATTTATAGAACTAGCTTTCTATTATCGATGATTTATTAATAATTTTGTGACATTGGCTAAGCCGTTATATCAATTAATGAAGAAGCATGTCAAATTTAAATGGGAAAAGAAACAACAGCAAACATTTAATTTATTGAAGTGATATTTAATAATGGCACCTGTTTTGAGATACCCAGATTTCAATAGGACTTTCTATATCTATACTGATGTATCTGACACTGAATTAGGCACTATTCTAATACAGAAAGATAATAATAGCAGAGAATATGTAGTATCTTATACTAGCAGAGGACTGATGAAACATGAACAAAACTATATTGCAACAGAATTAGAATATTTAACTGTATTATAGGCTATAAAATATATCTATTATTATTATGGACTAAAGCCTTTCATGGTTATTATAGATCATATTGCACTTCAATGGCTTAAAACAGCAAAATTAACCAGAAGGTGCACACGATAAATATTACATTTATAGCCATATAATTTTACAGTTAAGTATTGTAATAGAAAAAAGTATAGCAATACAGATGCATTGTTCCAGTTATAATTTATACTGCATACAATTAATAGGATAATATAAAAGGAGGAGAGATGAGGAGGAAATAAATATTAAAAAAAAAAAACAAAAAAAAATAATATAAAATATAATATTGAAAAAAATATGGAAAAATTTTATTTACTATTTTATTAGTTTTACAGACAATATGATGAATAAGACTCACTATAGATATCTAATAACTTATTTGTAAAAGAGAACAATACTGATCACTTTAGAACAAGAAGAAAGATGAAGGTTGCAAAGGAAAAGTAAATTCTTTGAATTCAAGGATAAAATATTATACAAAAAGAACTACCAAAGAAGAATCACTTGTTACATGTTGCATGAAAACATGAAATAAAACCAATTTTATTTATGTTATACAATTATCCATTAGGAGGACACTTTGATAAAGACACCATGTTCCCGAAGATTCATGATATTAATTATTGGCTGCAGATATATAAGGACATCAGAACCTATGTAAAAAGTGCAACTGCTAACAATAAAGAGGAAAAATATTAGCACCAGGACTAAAGATAAGTCCCTAAATTATTTGTAAGGACATAATTCAAATGTCTCTTATTATTAAAAATTTTCATTTCTATATTAAGAAATAA